ACCAGATTTTTAATGATTCCTAGACAATGGTGTACATCATAAACCAGCAACAGAAGCAAGTCCCACCTTGTACCCTGATGAGAGCCTGATGTCTCTTTCTCTCTCGTCCCATCAGCTGATTTTACTTGGGACGACTTTACAGGACTGGCTGTATGATTGATCGTCTTCTTCACTTTGCTGTCGGTTTCATCTGATCTCTTTTTGATTTCAAAGTCTTCCTTTGCATTTGGTACGTTAACACTAGGGTCTGGTGTGTGGTTGAACAGAACAGTAACATCACCGTAACAAAGACATTCTTCAAAGCCACGGTGCACTGCTATTTCTGGATGTAAACCTGCACGCCGACTATAAAAAATACATTACGAAATCTTATCTACTGCTGCTGTAAAACATGTTAGATACATGCAATACAGTGATTCAATATTAAGTTGACAGAATTATTTGATGAAGACATGTGTTCTACAATTAAAACAGTTTTTTTCACCAGTTTTTAGTCCAACATTCAATTTTTTTTGCAAGTCTGCAGTTTCCAAGACAATTTGTACATTAGACTTGTAAAACGATATAAAAAGCAAAAAAAAAATTGGACTACATTTACTGTCATTTAATTCAACATAATTTAAGATAATACACAACAAAAATACACTAGATGACGAATACCTTGAGCCGGCTTGTCTTTCAGGTGGCTGCAACTGAAATGTCTGCATGTATTCTCCTGAGGCTGTAGTCAAACACTGTATACAAATATTCATCAAAGGTATGCTGACATAGCCTATTAATGTCTCCTGTTCTGGTTTACTCGGAATAAATCCTTTATTCCATACACATATATTGAGGTATTTATCAGAATCATAAATTTCGAAGTTGAATAACTCGTCCCAGCAAGGAACCTATAAATAAACACACAAAATTATGAATCAAAATTCCATAGAAATACCTGACAATGTTTAGACTGATATTTTCACAAAAATATTATCCCCCGGTAATAATTTTTAAATTTTGCCATCATAACAGCTCTGCATATACACGAAGTAAGTCCTGCCAAAATGAATGTGTACATATATATTACAGATTTTAATGAAACCAAACAAAAGATGGCCTCCAATCACTGAGGTGACTACGGTAAATTTGATGCAGCTCTGACCGGCAAGTGACTGCTGCAATGGTGGTATCATTCTGTACCTTCAATCATATTTTCACTATGACATAGCAGTTCATAAACAATGCATGTATAGTATGACCTGTATCACACATTTATCACATTCACATCACCCAAGTATCACATTCACATGACACTTGTCATCAATCTAAACTAAGAATCCCATACACTGCTTCAGCCATGATAATTTTCTCATTGCTAAAACAATAAAGAAATGAAATGATCTAGTAGACAATGTTTGTGTTTACCCAGAGTAAGTTTAGATGACCACTGTGGTAGTTAGAATGTATGATGAAAATATGTGAGGGTGATGGGATGGCAAAGAATTATGACCAAAATATGAGTTGGTGATGCAGAAGCAGTAAATGCATAATGTCACAAATAGGTAGTTTGTAGGAATGACAGGTTGCAGGTAAGCAGTACAGTATATTAAGTAAACTACCGATATTATATCAGTAAATTCATAAGGTAACTTCAGCTGACTTTAAGGTAGCTTGCTTTTAAAACTGACATACGTCGAAATTGAACCAAGTAATCTGCCTAAAGATGTCTCATATTGACGACAATGATACTTATTCTAAAAAGAAAACTTTCCAAGAAAGGCAAAAACAGGTGAGAGCCAACTTGGAAGTTACATGTGAATTATGCCCAGACTGTACTTTATGGGTACTTCAAGTATTTCATAATAATAATCACAGAGGGGTACTCAAAAAAATATGGATTATTTCAGTATTGCAACATCGGGGTCGATCCCGAGTAAATAACAGAATAGAAAACGTGAGAACTATGTACGTTCGTCCGCCGTGCACTCTAAAATTAATGCGAGTTTTCTCGTAAAAGCTGGAACCAAACTACCGTACCAATCATGACTTTTATGCAATAAAATACACTTTTTACATGCATGTTTTAATAAATGTCGTCGACGCCCGGTAAAAACACCCTGGGCCTATACTCGGGGATGCCCTCAACTCGTTAAATGTCCAAAAACAGAGGGGTGGGCTTATACTCGGGGAGGGGCTTATACTCAGGGAAGTACGGTATCAATGATTAATTATATCAATCTTCAATGAAACAGCTCATATATATGTCATACATTACTCCCTCTGAAATAAATAATTATATATTGATACCAAACCCTCGCCTTTGTTACTACTTACCAACAAAGCAGGTACGGTTGATGTTCTCTTGATATCACTTTCAATACTATCGTCAATCTTGCCAGGCATGGGAACAGCACCATCCACGCAGTCGCTGTCTACAGAATCGTTACTTTCCAAGATATCGTCCTTCATGGAATGCGTACTCCCCCGTCTCGTTTTATTCTCTATGTTCTCTTTCACTTGCAGACTAGCAATCTTTTCCGCATTATCTTTCCCAGCATTGCTCAACTTTCTGACAACTTCCTTCCCAGTCTCCAAGACTGATTTCCCTCCTTCTTTACTACCAATATTACCGCCATCTGCCGGTGGTTTTTGAGACTCAGTTCGGGAACTTTTCCCTATATCAGACACTGTTTTTCCATCCTTTACATCTTCCCCCTTCCCGCTTAAAGCCCGAACTCCAACTTCATACGCACTATGTAACTTCCTCCTTAACATCATAGGAGAGGAAGTTGCTTTGCGTTTCATGGCAGCTGTTAAACTTTCTTCACCATCCAAGCTGATGCTGGATGTTGATGCAGTACTCAGTGCATCTATACTTGCACCGCTAGCACTTTTCATCAGTGTTATATTCACATACTCATCATCTTCTTTAGAAACTAGTCGCCTAGCAAAGTCATCCTCTGTTTTCATCATCAGACCTTCCTCAGAGGGTCCCTGACTTGATTCTGATAGATCTTCCACCTGCATACTTAGTAGAGGTCGTTTCACTTTCATCGTTAGTCTTTCAGCAAGAAAGAGAATATAATTAGTGTACAAAATCTGACAAAATGGACAGAAATCAATGACTCTCTTCACACTTAACTTAATAACAACAACCCTGTTCATAGCATTACCACATTATACATATCACCAATGTCTATACCATTTTTTACATCAAGTTTTCAAGCTATAATTCCACCTAACAATTCTCCAGTCATCTTACCTTTCCCCAGCTTGCTTTATCAACCTAGCTGCATTTTTTACTGACGTCACTTTACCACCATCAACTGATATCAAAATGTCACCCTGAGAAAATATAGATAGGAAAATAATCAATATATGTAAAAACTATAAACTAAAATGGACAAACAATTTTCCGGAGCAATATTTTTTTGGATAAAACAGGAGCAAGCATGAACATTAATTCATCCAATATGTAAAAGAATGCATTACCAGTACTTCACGATGCCCTCGTCATATACATTAATAAATATTTTCCAATATATTTTAGGGAAACAGACTCGACTAGCCATATTGTGCTATTTCTGTTTCCCTGCCATAGAATATTGAAAGTTTTATTATTATTATTA